TTTCTTAACAGTTAAGGCAATTAACTATGAACACTATATATATTCTCGTATATACAGGGTGACTTCGAAGTTGAGTCATTTATTTTAACAGTGAGTAGATCTGATCAAAAGAAATGTTTTTTTCCTTTACCATTTTCTGGTAATATTAAAGTAACAAAGTTATAGCCCTTTGGAAGTTTGAGTACCGCCCTGTCTCAATGATAATATTATGTGCTCGTGTTTGGCGACAACGGATATAATCCGCCGTATCGGTTCATCGCATCGGAAACAAAAAAGCGAAAGAATTTGGAACGATGTTTTTACAATTATTTTATTCATTTGTATACAGTCAGTGTCAGTGAATACTGGTGTCTGTTGCGTGGCTCAAACGAAATAAAAAATGGCACATGTTTATGCGGATCGGTTTCCCAATCGAGTGCAACCAACCCCTCGTGCCGTTGTTAATGTAGTACAACGGGTTCGTGAATCATTTGACTTAAGACCTCACATATGGACGGCATGCCGGTGCTCCAAGACCTCACGATCAAATACAGGTCCGCACTGAAATACTTGTCGGGAGGATACTTTATAAAACAAGGTAAAAATAATTTTTTAATTTTTTTTTTATTTTTACACACATATAATCATTATCTGAAAATTAATGACTCAACTTCACAGTCACCCTGTATATATATACACAGGGTGGGCCATGTGTGGACGGAATATTACTTATAAACAAATAAATTTTGGGTAAATCTATTTATGGGATGTTATACAGGGTGGGCCAAAAGAAGCTGACAGATTTTAAAAATTCATAAGTTTTTCCCAAGTTAACATATGTATTTGATTTTTTTTCAGATTTACAAAGTAGAGCTCTGGATATTTTAGAATGGAGAGACTTAATCTAATCCAGAGAACCAAAGTCGTACAATTTTACTATGAACATAATCATTCGATTGTAAACACCAAGAGAGCTTATTGAAGATTTTTTAATGTTCGAAACGCCCCATCCACTGGGGCTATCCGCAGCATTATTCGGCGTTTTCAAAGCCAGGGTTCTGTATCGAACCTTCCCCGAACTGGACAACCACGTTTAGCTTTTACTGGAGAAAACATAGAGTAGAGGAAAGTGTTCAGGAGGACCTCGAAACATCGACCAGAAGAAGGTCAACTCAATTAGGCATATCCAGGACATCCCTCAGAAGAATTTTGAAACATTTGCGGATGTTTCCTTACAAAATTCAAATGATTCAGCTCTTACGACCACAAGATTATGCACAACGACTGAATTATGCCATTTGTTTTCAGCAATTGGTTAGAGAGGAAGAACATTTTTTAAATCGTCTAATAAATGAGTGATGAGGCGCATTTTCATCTGAATGGTTTTATGAATACGCAAAATGCAAGAATTTGGGGAAGGCAAAATCCAAGGGCTGTACACGAGAGAGAATTACACCCCATTAAATGTACGGTTTAGTGTGGTGTTACCACCCAGGGTATAATTGGGCCTTATTTCTTTCAAAATGACGGTGGAACTGCGGTGACTGTTAGTGGCGTGAGATATAGAGTTATGCTTGCAAATTTTTTGATTCCAGCGCTTGAAAGCAGTACTGATATGTGGTTCCAACAGGATGGAGCCACAGCTCATACAGCTGGAGCCACAATGGCATTGCTAAGAGGCTTCTTTGGAGAACGTCTGATTTCAAAAAGATCGGCAATTGAATATCAACCACGTTCCCCTGATTTAACCGCGCCAGATTCTTATCTATGGGGATATTTGACAGAAAGAGTTTACCGCAATAAACCTCGAACCTTAATACAACTTATGGACAATATCATAATGAAAATTCGAGACATAACTCGGGAAACATTGGAGGCAGTTATGGACAATGTCTTGGAAAGGAATGTTGTATGTGTGTGAAAGAGAAAATGGTCGTCACTTACGCGACATTATTTTTCATACTTAATACGAAAAAACTCCAATAAATATATTTTATTTTTGTAAAAACTACATTAAAAAATATTAATGAATACAAAAGTTATTAAAGCTTCTTTTGGCCCACCCTGTACATGACATTTGAGGGCACATTTCTAAAATATTGGCCATTATACAGAGTGTCCCAATTTCGACCTACATAGTTGTAATTTTTCAAATCGAATGCCTTACATTTTATTGCATATTTGGATAAACCAATTCAAAAGAAGAAAATTGGTATAACAAACTATGGGGTTTTGGTAATTAGCCCCACTTCGGCAACCCCTAAAAACTTGTTTGAAAATGAATTTTTCTAAAGAAGAATTGGTGAATATGGTGTTAGTTTTGGGCGAAGCCCGAAGAAATAGTTTCCCAGCATCTCGCATTTAAAGCCACGGTACCCTAATAAGCGACATCCAAGGCCGGAAACATTTTCCACGCTACGAGAACGTGTTGAATCAACTGGAGCAGTGGAATATAGTAAAAAATGCATAAATAATCCAAGTGTCACCAATGAGGCGAATCAGTTGGAGGTTCTATTAAAGTTGCAGGAAAATCCCCATTTAAGCGCACGGCAAATAGAAGCAGAAACTGATATATGCAGAACTTCTGATTATTCACAAGCATAGGTACTATCCATATCACCTATACTTGCATCAAGACCTTCGTCCTCAGAATTTAGCAGCTCGAATGGAGTTTAGTAGAATAATGCTAAATAAAGTGAGTGAAGACACTACTTTCCTGGATAAGGTTCTTTTTAGCGATGAGGCACCTTTTAACAGCATAGGTGTTGTCAACAGGCATAACATGCACTATTTATGCGACGGAAAACCCTTACTGGGTTAGGAAAATAGATTTCCAAAATAAATGGAGCCTCAATGTTTGGGGAGGAGTTATTGGCAGACAAGTTATATGGCCTTTCTTTTTCGACAACAGATTAACAGGTACAGAATACTTGAATTTTTTGATCGAGCATTTGCCTTTGCTTTTGGAGGATGTCAAGCTGCAAACTCGGATGAATATGTACTTCCAACATGACGGCGCACCTGCGCATTATCATAATCGTGTGCGTAACTATTTGGACACTTGGAGTAACAATCGTTGGATCGGTCGTGATGGGCCTATATCTTGGCGTCCTAGATCACCAGATATGACGCCGATGGACTTCTTTCTATGGGGCTACGTTTATCACGAGGTTTATAGATATCCACCATCTACCCCGGAAAATATGAAGGAAAGGATTAAGGATGATTTTCTGAACATACGGGAACGCATGCTGAGGGATGTGCAACGGTCATTTATCCAAAGACTACGGCTTTGTATTTAACATAGTGGAGATATTTTCGAGCAGTTTCTGTAGATTAGGTCTTGAGTAGTGATAGTTGTTTGTTTATGTTTTTGTTATAGTTGTTTTTCTCTATTACGGTTGAAGCTGATTTATACTGTTCTGATTGTTATTAGTTTCTACATCAAATTAGTACTCTTAGTGGCAATATGGAACTAGCCCACTATTTGTCTTTTGTTTCCATGGATGATGTGATTTTTTTCTTTAATTTTGGTGTGTTCTATTAAAAGCTTAATAACTCAAAATCTAGTGATGTTATCTGAATCAAACCTTATACCAAAAAAAAAGCTTATAAAAAATCGAATTTAAACTTGCACAAATATGCAGGGTGATGCATTTGAAATTTTTGAGAAAAACTACAATTTGTGTTTTGACCACCCTGTATGAGCAAAAATGAAAATTCGAAAAAGTAAAAAATAAGATAAAAGCTGATGTATGCAAGTTTTTTTGATACAAAATTCAGCACTCCAGATTTCAAAAAGGCGGATTTAGGGGTTGCCGAACTGGACGGTTTTTCTGGACAAAACACTTTACATCTCAGTAGCTAATTACCAAAACCCCATAGTATGTTATATCAATCTCCTTCTTTTGAATTGTTTCGATCTGTGTATCAAATTTCATCCAGATCCGTTCAGCCATTTTGGCATAAGTGAGAAACAGATATCCACACCTTCTCATTTATAATATTAGTAGGGATGAAAATCGGCTATTGCCGTGAGACCGAATTTATCTAGAAAAGTGTTTGTTCAAATCACAGATAGTCAAGGGGTTACCATTTTTTTTTAGGGAATTTCAAATTGTTATAGGCCTTTTTAGGGAAATGTTTACATCTTCGTCCGCTTTTGTTACATGCCAATGAAATTTGATGCACTTAGGCAATTTTGAAGCTGGATAATAAATAACTGATAAGAAATCATGGAGGGTCGTAGGCCCGAATTTGAAGTAGAAATGGGTCATCTAAAGGGGGCATACATTTTGCTTCCGCTCTCCGAATTATTCTTATTTCAAAGTCTCAAAGTGTATGGATGACAGAACTATAATTAAATGACATATACTCTGTTGAAATATCAAATTTGCGCTGCATCAAAATGCAAACAACCAATTGACAAATTTTCGTGTCCCGATTCGCCCGTCGTTGCCTGCTTTGGCATTCGTGGTCCGCTGACCAATAGGATCGCCAGGATTTGAATTTCGTACGTTGATATTTATTTGTCCGAGGCGTAAATGAAATTTGGCTAGAGTTTATGCTGCCCTTACTACAGTAACCGTACTAAGCAAGGAGGCGGTCGGTTGCTGGTGCGAAAACCGGCGATCTTCGAATGTTATTTCACGCGATTTGTTGATGTGGTGTCGGATACAATTTTAAATTTCAATGCTCATAATGTGGTATTCGCTAGTAGTCGGAACGGAGATACTGCCTGCCGGCCGGTAGCCGCCGGTGATTATTTTAGACTGGCCTTGACACATCATACAGAAATTGCGCGTTTGTTGCGCGAATGGACCAAATAAGCATCCGCCATGCTCTTATTTTAGATGTATTTTCCTCCGTAGAATGATATCTTCTTGAGATTTGTTTCTAAGCATTATCGTTTTTGGGGAGCTTAGATTTTGGGTCGACGATTCCTGAGTGTCTGGGAACTTTCCTAGATTAATTTTTAGATGATGTAAAAAAATGTAATTTTGTCCTTTAGTTAGTTTTAGTTTTTTTGGTATGATTCACCTGAAGGGCCAGATTTGAGTAAAACAGATCAAAACGAGCTTTTTCTTGTAGGCATCTTGTGGTTTGATGATGGCAGCAGTAGAATTCTGGTCTATATTTAGAGAAGATATAGTCTTTGTCCGTCTGGAATTTGGTTCAGAGTGATGTAACTTTTATCAGTGAACGAGGAAAAAAAACGGCCCACAAGTATTTTATAGATCATTTTAAAATTTTTGGCTGACATACATCTGGTGTAGTTTTCTCCCAAAATGTGCGCCTTGCTCTGGCGCATTCCAGCACTAAGGCAGATATTTTTATAGTCTATCAAAAAATCAGCCATAATGACTTCTTGAAAACGATTTTTCATAATTGTTTTTAAATGAATGTAATTTAAACCAGTTGTTGGTTGGGGAAATGGTTTCAAATAAATAGCCAAATTAGGTCTATTAGATCTATAATGACAAAATGTTCACAAAATATTTATGAAGATGACAATCTTGTTAATATGAGATTCCTTTACATCAGGTACAAGTTATTTGGACTATTACAATAACTTACGTAATAAATTATTGGAGATGACGTCTCTACATAAATAGTGTTGACAATTGTGCTGTATCTGTTAAGGGCAGATAAATAAATATAATTTTAATTTGAGCATTTGTACTTGCCCAGTCTCTTATATTTTTACACATTCACTAGGCAAGTCGTCGTGCATGAAATCATCTAAATAAGTAAATGGTAATGACTTACATAATACTGATACAATGGCAGTGGATAGTATCTAATTTTTCACATGAATTTGCATACATTTTGTTCAAATTTAGGAAACACTTGAAAACTGGGTAAATGCCATGATGACACAACTTTTATATTAGTTTTATCTACCTCACTTAATGATTGAAATTGATTAGATATCACTATTTGATCCTAATACCATGTTCATAAAAATGATTCTTACAGTGCAAATCAAAACTTAAAATATTATTAAATCAAGTTCTGTTAAAAAGAATGTTTAGTCCTTAAAAAATAACAAATGTCAAGCTTTTCATTACTTATTTTTGACAGTACTAGTAAATAAGAATGGTTTTTATGGTCACTAAAGACCATGACCATTTGACAGTGCTGAATACTGATAGTCATGACAGGTTGCTTATTTTTACATAGAAACATTTCGGTAATTTAATGTCTAAACCAGACAAGAACTGAAATAGGTATGGAATGATAGAACCACAGAGCTTTAAGTGACCACAAAATAAGCAGAACTACAATAAAGGGCTAGCTTGGTACAACACATATACTGTGGTGCCCAAAGACATTTTCCTTTGCATTATCCCATGTGTACAAGAGAGAGAAAGAGAGAGAGAGAGAGAGAGAAAGAGAGAGAGAGAGAGAGAGAAAGAGAGAGAGAGAAAGAGAGAGAGAAGGGAGTGAAGGTAGGCGCAAAGTGGGGCTGTAACTTTTCCCCTACTGTCCTTGCCAGGCAACACAGTCTCATACACATGTAAATCTGAAAGAGAAAACAAGTTTGGCCTGCACTGTAGGTATAACAAAAAGCATGACAATTCAATTTATTTAGAACACTGCTTATTTCTTACATTTATTATCTGTGATCTGAAACTCATATTTCTACTTTATTTTCGCCAATACGTTTTTATGACTTGAAATTATTTCATTTAAGCTTACCTAGCTTTGCAAATTCCAGCAAAAGCGCTGAATAAGGAAAAAAAAATCTTGGCAAATAAGTCTCCCCTTCTGTCTGTAACTAATGGAGCTTCCTTATTTTGATAATGGAGAACAAACAATTGTCTTGCTAATGTAAAAAATCTACATAAATCATAATTCAGCAGCAAAACAGGAGCACTAAGAACTCTACTGTTAGTTCTCCACTCCTTTATCACTATGTTCCTTACAATTATGATATATCCTAAACTCAACATTCAAGTGATACTCATAAACTCCTCCTTTGCAATAGAAACAGGACCCGCATGTGTGATGCCTGACGATAGGATGATTGAAGTGGATATAGAGCCCTTGATAACTGGGTGCAAAGTACAACTTACACTGGGGACAGTAGTAATAATTTTCTTTCTCGTACTTTCGAACTGCTTCTGTATCTTCAGGGCAAAATCTAGAGTGTACAGCATCAGACTCACTGGTCATTTCAATTCGAGCGAATTCCTGAGTAATTTGCTTGCCTTTTGCCATATTTTTAACTTGTTTCATATTGATACCATAAATCAAGCACAATTTAGCCTATATCGGCACATTTCTAGTAATCACAGATGACGTGGAATGTTTAATATAGAACCATTGTTATCACATTACTTCTTGTTCTTATTCATGGATTTTTTAAAATGAAAGAAAATGTTTATTGTTTACATTTACAAATTCATATTTGAATACAGCTAACCTCAAATAATAATCAAATCCAAGCGAATAACCAAAATTTCTGTGTTATGTGCCGCGGTTATAATATGGTTCAAGATGACACACGGGTTGATGACGTCAGTTACACGAATCGCTTGAACGCGTTGGTTTTAACCGCGGTTTTGTTGCAAGTTGTTTATTTTAGAAAAGTGCGTATATAATCTCTGATTATTTTTATTATCACTTAATAATCGGTTCTTTTTCGTCTACAACTGTGTATGGAAAGTTTAAATAAGAAACCTTTCATAATATTCATGGGAGAAATGTGTTTTCAGATTTTTTTTTAATGATGGAACCATGGCTTTGTAGCTATGATAACTTTCAATTCTCTAAATTTTTCCGCATGTCAAAGAAAACATTTATTGATTCAGCAGAAATGATGAAAAAAGAAATCAGCAAGACCGTATACAGGTGGATATCATCTAGTCAGTTTATATGGCCATATTTTAATATTCTTGTGGTATATGGCTACACAGGATACTTTGTTAAGCTTAGGAACTACATTTAAAGTGTCCCCAACAACCGTAATGAGTATAACTAATAAGGTGCTCCACGTTATGGTAAAACTGAAGTCAGCCTGTATTATTTTTCTCAAAAATGAAGCTGAAGTACAATAACAATATCCAATACCCGGCAAAATTCTAACTTGTCACATTTCAAATAATAACCAGAAATATAAAACTACTCTTGAGTTGGGTAAATACCACAATTTTGCGGTGATAACTATGACATATAACAGCTGATTCGTGACGTCACGGATCTTATAACCAAACTGATAACTACACTCGCTTGAACGGTTTGGTAAATACCAACCCAAAATGGTAAATACCATTTCCATTTGGTTATCCGCTTGAATTTGATTAATGTATTTTACAATTTTTTGACAGCTGTCATTTTTCAAGCACAGAACATCAAGTGTGCTGGCAAGCGGTAAAGGTGTGCAGATGTAATACCCTCTCCAGACTCACGCGCGGATCACTGCGTGAAATCGCGGCGCGGATCGCGGTGAAAATCCCGAAATTTGTTCCTACAGTTCCACAGTCGCAGATGTTCGCGCCTGCTTCATAGTATAGTTCGCGCTTTTGACAAGTATGGATGGTCAAATTGCTACTGCTGCTGCAGGGCTACTTTTCGCTTTGGCAATTTATAATTACGCATACAGAAGTAAAACTAAAGCAATTGAAAAGAAGTGGAAAAACCACAACCATTCCCGGCACTCGCTATGAGGCGGGAAACAACAGCGAATGAGGACCCTAGTCATGTTCGCGCCTTGCGAACCCTTTGTCGCGGGACAAAAAACTGACAACAAACGGGAACAACGCGCGAACGCGACGTGAAGCCGCGAAGAATACGCGAATGGGATCCCACTCATAGGTCGCGGGTAATTCGCGCGTGAGTGTGGAGAGGGCATAAACCTTATTCAAATATTGCTTATCCAGGGCCGTATGCTCCGCTATTCGATTTTCGTCCGCCGGCGCGCATGACGTCACGCGGAGAGTGATTATCATTTGGGTTGATATGGAACGTGCATATTTTCACCTACAGACCAAACGACTGGACGGATTTTCACATATGAGGTGTCGTTGGATTCGTCTTAGCGATGCGAGTGATCAAAATTAACAATGTTTTGTCAAAAACACGGCCAGTACGGGCCGGTGTTCCTCAGGTTTCGGTCCTAGGACCAATCCTTTTTTCGCTTTTTATCCATGATGTCCCTTGCCCCAGCAATTGTGAAGTCTACCTCTATGCTGACGACACTGCACTTGTCGCCCAGTCGTGTACTGGTGATCTGGTTCACGATGGATTGCAGAGTGCGGTGGAAGAAGTACTAGAGTGGGCCGAACGGTGGCTGATTAAAATTAATCATTCGATAACGCAGGCTATTTATAGTACCAAAAAACGCCGCGGCCCCCAGCAGAGGTATCTGTAGACGGCAGTCGTGTACCATGGACAAATTCTGCCAAGTACCTCGGTGTCACCCTTGATAAAGTTTCCGCAACTATATCGTTTGTTATGTAGATCCTCAAAATTGAGTTTGACAAACAAAGTTCGCCTATAAAAAATGATTATTAGACCAGCGATTATTGATCGACCAGCCAAAGATTGCTAGGGACGAAAGGGGGAAATGCGATGAAAAAACCTTACCATTAGACGATTTTATATGGAGTCATAGGCGGAGATCGGAGAGACTTGAATTATTAATTGAATTTATATTTTATTACAACTGGTAGTATTAATATTTTTTTGCGATTCATAATGACGTGATACCAAACATACATTATAAGAAATAAATATACACAAACACTGAATATTGAGAACAAAATAAATATATTTTTTAGGCAACAAGTAATATTCCTATGTACGCATTATGATTGAACAGCAAAACAAATTATGCATTCTTCTAAAATAGAATACAACAAGTCAAAAATATCTGACTGAATAGAAAAATATAGGAAAACAAAAAGTAATTTCTTGATGAAATAACCCATAAACAACACATAGAATTAGACTTTCTACTGAGATACTAAAAGCCACAAACCAATAGTATAATAAATGAATATCTAAAAATTCTAAAAGGTAGCCAATCTAGTATAGTTTCAATCCTGATTAGAGTCATGATCACTGTCTGAGGAACTGTCATTGCTATCACTTTCACCTCCTATGTTGATTATTATTTCTTCCTGTATTTCTTGAATGAGACTGTCTTTTTCCCAATATTCATCTTCAATTTTTATAACATGTCCAATAACCTTTTGCCAGTCACTGGCACTTACTGAAGCGATGGCCTTATTAGAAATTTCATCTAGTTTTTTTATAGTAAATTCGCCGCTTGTATTATGGCTTCTAATGAAAAATTTTACTTGTGCCCAAATCATCTCTATGGGATTAAACTGACACATATAGGGTGGCGTTCGAAGTGGGGTGTGTCCGAAACTTCTTATTAAATTATCTATCTTATAATTTTTCTCATCAGATGGTGGCCTATGTAGACAAGCTATTTCATAAAGCTCCATTTTTTTAGCATTAGGATCATGCTCTATACCTTTTTTGCTCAACCACGTGATGATGTCTCTTTTTAGAGAAGATCTAGTTGGAGGCTTGTCTTCCAAAGCTGAATGGTAAGGTGCATTATCCATTATTATAATACTATTAGGAGGAATGTTAGGAAATAGTTTTTCAGTAAGCCACTTCGTGAAATTTTCTTGGTTCATTTGACCGTGATAATCACCAGTGGCACAGCCAGCCTTGAAAATGAGACAGGCTCCAGGAACAAAACCATCTTGCGAACCCGCATGAACAATTATAAGTCGTCCTGGAAATGAATAAATAGCCTCATTTTAGTGTTATTTTAAGTTTGCCAACACCTTTTTGAATCACTATGTATAAAAAACATATTTTTGAGAAAAAAATACTTGCAAGGGATTATGTATTCAATTAGACAAATTAAATGAGCACTTATTAAGAATATTCCAAAATTGAGAAAAATGTATAATAAGCAAAATCGAGGTGAAAGAAACTTTATTACCTGTAGAACTTATATTGCTCAGGACACCCATAATTTCTTCGCTTTGCCAGCATTTCTTGAAAGTGAGGTCATTATCAACCCAAGTTTCGTCCAAATAAATAATATGCCTTCCTTCTTCCCGGAACTTTTTAATAGACCTAAGATACTTGTATCGCCAATGTAAAATACTGGGTCTTTCCATTAGTAATTTTCTTTTGTTGTGGCATTTACGCCAGTAAAATCCTTTTGCTTTTAAAAGCAGCCTCAACGATTCTTTACCAAATGGAAATTCCATTTCTTCCTTCAGTTTGATTAGAAGTTTACTACAAGTAGGTACCACTTTAAAATCACAGTAAAATTTTTCTATCATTCTCCGAATAATGGAAAAATCGACTCCATCAATTTTTTGGATCACAGAAGGGCGTGATCTCTTTTTTCCGGGAGAAGCTAAAGGCTGTGTGGAGGTTGCATTTTGCCTGTCTTTATCTTCTTTTCTAATTTTACTTATAGTTCGTTCACTAACACCCGTATAATATGCCGCCCTTGCATTTCTAGCTACCAGTGGATAAACGAAAGTATTGTTAGCCGCTTCTGCATCGCAAGCACGTATCACGTTTGCTATTATTTCCCTTGCCTGGCTGTGAATAACTTTCCCATGCTTGAATTCCATTATCACCACTAAACAGTAAATTATATTTTCAAAGTATTTGCCAACTGCCTACGCCTATGGGAGTAGGTTTATAAATGACCGTGCCATCGGCACGTTATTCTAGTTTCAGATAAGATAAGAGTTTTGGACCAATCAGCGACCGGATGTTTACCTGCGGCCTGGGTTTTCCAGCTACATTGCCAAATTCAGCGGAACAATTCTATATCTTAAATATGTTAATATGTATGGACCGCATTTTATGTAGAACATCTGACAACTTCGCAATTTTTTGTCCGCATTCTTTCGGCTTGCAATCTTTCGCTGGTCCAACAGTACTTATGCATGTGCGGCTTGGTGTTTTCTTGCCAAGACACATATGCAAAGTCTTCAAGTAGTGCAAAGTAGAACTTTGCGAACAATTTGCAACACGCCATGGTATGTCTCAAACGAGACACTACACAGAGACCTTGACATTCCCTCCTTGAGCGATTATGTCAAACTTCAGGCTCAGCGACGTTATATAGTCAAGCGGAATCTCACAGCAACCCTCTGTTGCGCGACTCAGTGGACTACACAGTGGAGCAAGTTCGTAAACATTCAAGGCCACGGTTCACACTGTTATCAAAAACTAGCGCGAACTTTTAATACATTTAAAATTACACTCTAACAAAATTGAATCAAAAATTTGTTTTTTGCTCTTCTCCATTTTTCCTTGACATTGTCTGGTTTCTGGACAACCAGTACTGACAGATTCGACTAACGCACATTAGACAGTGACTAATGGGCAAAGGTCCTACTGACCGCCCAGACAAACAAATGACGAATAGTATGTTTAATGTCAAAAAACCTACATATTATTAAAAAAAACGACAATGTCAGTTTTCAAGTTACGTAATACCCCTGAGGACCTTTTATAAATACTATTCAAATTTTAATAACACTGTAGTTCAAACTTTCGGATCTTGACGCAGTTTAGTTATTAGATTACTAATATTGCAAAGGTGAAAGGTTTGTAGCTTTTGGTAAAATAGCTACCCCCAATTGCGGGGAAATAATTTGTCGAAATTGAATATACAGGGAAAACCAAATTTGTCTCTGGCTTGAGTTCAATATGTATGGAGAGAGAACCAAAGCCCTGTCGAAAAATGTAATAAATAACGTTAGGCAGTACAAATTATCACTGCCTGCGTGTACGAATGTGAAAGCCATTTCGAAGCAAGATGACACTCCTTTACGAGCGCTAAATGGGTACGGACCAAAACACCTCAACTATGATCATGGAGGTGGAAACCTTGCCTTGGAATGAACAAGAGGCGGTGTTGTTAAACGAACCAATGATGAAATGTTGCAGAATTTGCGGCGATCCTGACCTTTCATTTCGACCTAACATGGAGCGCCGTTACTACCGATCGGGAATCAATACTAAACCGATTCGACACAATTCGTAATTCAAAAATGTACGCTCAAAATAAAACTATTATTTGGGTGTGCAGAATAAACTAACGCATATTTTCAATATGCATCTTAATTCAAGGAACTGTAATAACATATTGGCAACGCGGCAGATTGCCGTGTCAGCATTGCTAGGCATCGCGATGATGCGTTTCGCTATCCAGGCGACTTCTATCTCTTTCTAAACTGTGTCTACACACACTTCTCTTTTGCACCCATTGAACTCGAGCCTTCTCATAAATTTGGTTCTCAGTGTATAACTTCATAATAATGAAATCCAAGTCTGATGGCTCGAAGGCTGACATAATGGGACCTTATTGTTATTTAGCAAATGCTACTTGTTTAATATTGTTTATTCAACATGTAGCCATACGATATCGACCCTAAATTAAAAAAGTGGATATCGTATTAGTTGGATACTAACTACGTGGTTATTATCTGAAGAAGAAAATGCTTGATATAATTAAGATCGAACTTCACTTAAGCTAAGTTCGTTTGTTCAACAAAGATTTATTGTTTCGTAGAAAAGTTAGCAATTCGTATTGTCAACACAAACTGTTAGTATGAATCTCAACAGACATTAGACGTGAAGTCTTCACTTGAGCGGTTACCGGTTACTGACGTTACTGTTGAACTATGGAATGAATTCGGTATCAAATAAAACTAGTGGGTATCGTTTTTGTTGATGTACTATGTCGGCTGTCGATAGATAACAGCTACACCAATTGGGTATCCTGTAAAGTCGGTCCCACACGATGTGGCGAATGCCTTACAACGTTGGACACATGGCTATTCGCCACATCGTGTGGAAGAGCGCTGACGGATTACATGTGTCCAACGTTCGCCACATAGCACGTTTGAGCTCTTGTCGGTAAATTTGTCCCGCGTCAAAGGACGTTACAACGTTGGAAGCAAGGTTCGTAACGCTCTCTCATACGAGGTGTCATGTGTTTGATGGTTTTAGGTTAGAACCAGTAGCGGCGAAAAACATTATTTACTTGTTTGCTGTGATTGTGGCGAAGTAGTGTTATGTGGGGAGTATTTTGATTTGACTACCTACATATTCATAATAATGTATGTTCCGTTACTAACTTTTGAGGAGAATGAATTAGATTAGTATACATACAAAGCATAGGCTGCCATAACAACGCTTTTTTCATATTGCTAATATTTTGTACGTTTCGCAGGTGAGTTATGGGAGGCCTAAGGATATATACTTTAGTAAATTATAAATTATCAAGTGCTCACAGTTGTTTCATTATTATGTCCTGTTGCAATGCAAGACTAGTTGAGAGATATATTGACTTGCATTTCATAACTAATGAAAATTATTAAATATATGATAACTCTGAAAGTAATATCAGGATTTTGATGAAATTTTGACTCTAGGTTACTACTATGAAAATGACGAAAAAGCTCTGCAGTTTTTGAAAATCGGTACAGTGGCGGCGGAGTGATCGTCGAAAAACAAACAAAAGACGGTCAAACTATGTTTTTCGACATTTCTGAGGCTTCTGGCAGACTTAGGTTTTGGTCGCTGATAACAGATCTGAACTTATTTTTCGGCGTTAGAAAAAATTGTTTCATCGTTCATTTTGTATAATTTTTCTTTCAGTTGTAAAGGTTCAAGCGCGGCACTGACACCGATAATAGATGTTTCTCGCCACCATGCGTCGAACGTCCGAGATTAAAAAGTTCATACCATCGTGTAGGAAATGCACTTGACAAGTGTGGTGTGTCGCACGTTGTACACAACGTTGTATACAGCATTGGAAGCATCGTGTGGGACCAGCCCACCAGGTATGAATTTTGACAGTACGTATCATCTTTTATCAGTCACTTTGTCTATCAGTGTATATGTTTTGTGTTGTCTATGTTGTCCATGATAAGAGGAAAATGAATGAAAACATGTGGAAATGGAAAAATGGAGAACGTAAATTTTGTAGACAAAAGGAATGATAAATAATGGCGCTTGCAATGAAATGGCTACCAAACAACAAGAAGTGGATGTTTTAGATAGTTGGGAAGAAATAGAAGAGAATGATGTACGTAAGAAAAAAACCAAATTGGTATTCTAGTTTTGTTAGTACCTATTAGATTTTTGGCTTAATGTTATATACTTTATATATATATATATATATATATATATATATATATATATGCTAAAATTCATATTTTGCAGGTATTGGAAAAGAAATTAGGTAGCTTAATAATGCCCAGTAAATCTTTAGAAGAAAGGTATTGTAAATCCAAGGCTAATTAGGTAATTTTTTTAACATAAATTTTCTTACTGTAGTAATATTGACCAACCAGTAAAGATTGTTTTAACTGGAGAAGATGCCTTAAGATCTCAATATGTGCCTCCAGAACCTACAGTGAAGATTCTAAAGAGGCCCTCCAATAATTCCCAGAATGGCACAGATCTGAAAGTGTACCAACCAAAAAAGACACTTCAGCAGAGAGAACAGGAGTATGCTGAAGCTAGGTTACGAATATTGGGAGAGGCTCCACCAGAAAAAGTAGAAGTTACTAAGTAAGTAGATACAGTAGTAGATACAGATATAGGTTTTTCTTGCACAGGTTCTAAGTACACGTTATTAAATTTGTGCTCTGTGTTAATGCTAAACCCTATTTCTTGAGTATCCATCATGTTCTGACATCTACTAAGGTGAACAGCTGATCAGCAAGTGACATCTTTGTATTAGTCTGTAATGGTGGCAACAATGAATCGGGTGTAAATTTAGTAAAACTTGCATGTAGCATTTTTGTTTTTTTGTGCAAATGAACTTTTCTGAATAAAAAAGCTGTTAGCAAGTACAAAATGAATCTGTAGCATACAAAAAACAAAACAAAATATGGCTCAGTCTACCTGGCATTGATGGATCCATTAGAATTATGTGTCACTTGTCAATGTGGCGTATTTTGGAATATTACTAGATAATCAGCTGTTATTCTACCATAATGGATACTTGTGAAAAAGACTAGACTTACAAAAACTATTTTTTATTACCTTTCTAAAACTGTTGTAGTATGCATTATGCAAGAGTTTATACAACTATTGTCAAATATTCACCTACATAATCTGCAGATGTTTTATATATAAAGGCCTAAAAAATAACATTTTATATTTTTGTCAAAATCCCAAAATATTAAATTGCAGCTCTCGCTTTCATTTTTTCCCTAAAGGGGACCATTCAGCATTTGCCTTTCAGATTTAGCTGCATTACAAACAGCAAGATAAAATAAGTGTTGAACTGTGTATACCAATACAAATTTTAACATTCTCATTTTATATGTATTGTAAAATATAATTTGATAGCAAGGATTTCTTTTTATAGAATATGTATACAGAAACCTAGGGCTGGTGAAGTGTATGTGATAAGGATGCCAAGAGGTCCAGATGGTACAAATGGTTTTAACATAAGAAGATAGTATAGTTCCTATATCTTCATTGTATATATATATATTAGCATATAATTTCATATTAGGGGCAGCACAGCCTGTGTTTATCTTGGAGGTAATGTTCTCTAAACAAATGGATGAAAATAATTATTTCCAGTCCATACTTGGGCATCAAAAATTCACTGTATGATATCTGTGTTGACAATTCCTCATAAATGAAATGCATTTACCAGCAACGTTTCAAAAGAAATGTTAACTTTAATTGATTTGATAACAGCAAATAAATTATCAGTGAAACAAGTTTAAAGGTATGTCTTCTAATAAACGTTGTTAAAAAAGGTATTTTCATATAGGATTGGGCTAGGTGGCAGGTTGAGCATTAGTATAATACTGTTGCTCAGTGGCTGCACATCATTTTGTACCGAACTAAAAAACATGACTATGAACCTAAATATTTCATAATCATTATTTACTGTGATCTATCAATATTTATCATGGAATGTGATACATTTGACATTGTGGACTGGACATCAGTAATTGTTGATGTATCAGGTTATGTAAGTAATAAGTTGACATTGTCAGAATGATCAATGAATACAGATTGTATGGACTATAGTAAACACTGATTGTGTGACTTCCGCTTCAGATGGACACTGACAGGAAGCTAACTGTCTGTCATTATCCAGTTTTGTATTGGTAAATTAATAGATTATATATTGCATTTATGCTAGATAATGTGCATTTTATCAAGCTTCTTGGAATTTGTTTGGTAGTCAATTTATAAGATCAACATTTCCTTAACACAACATGAAATGTAGATCAGTCCATTTGAAAACAAAGTGAAAGGCAAAGACTTGAATATTGTTTTATCTATTGCTAATTAATTTTATGGTGTCTCCTTATTTAATGAATAATGCACTCATGATGCTTCAAGAATCTGTTGCCCCTAAATTAGTGGCTTTTTACCCTAATTTCATACAGATAAAGGGGGCAGCTACAGAGTTTGCCGAATATTTATACCTATTTGGTTAGCAAGCAAATTTGGCTGACCCTGTAATGTGTACGAGACAGAAGCGTGCAATATGTTAGAAAGAGTGCGCCGATGGCGTCCGCGACCTCGTACTCGGGTTGCTAGGCAACGAGGTGCTTCTATCACACGCGCTCTCTCTCTCTCTCTCTCTCTCTCTCTCTCGTACACATTACGACTCGTTACACATTTACAGTGACTGATTACATTTAAAAAATTGACAAAACCCTTTGGTAATAGTAGCACAATAATAACACTTATTCACAAAGATTATGCTATACTATAGCTATCATCCTTGTGCCAATAGCACATGGACTGGGTTACTATTTTGTACTTTGCAAGAGACTTGGGAACTTTTCCCGAAGTATTATCTATAGATATTTGTATATTTTATAGTAGTATGGTCATATCGAACTATCTCATCTTAGATCAGTTATTTTATCATTGTGCAGGCACACATTTTCAACCTTAAAAACAGAAGTAAGAGATTGTAAGTGATTTGTTGACTAATATCTGATCTGCAACAACCAAAAAGTGTATGCCCAACTGGAGGTGTTACATTACAATTTTAACAGTTTAAAGAGCTAGCTGATGTTGAAGTTTGATATGTCAGGATCCAGTTATTAAACTTTATTTTTTTCGTTGCAGATTGTGGCTGATTCAGCAAATCGCGCTCTATTTTTGCTGTAATCATAACTATTAGTTAATCAATATATTTATTTTTCATAGCGCGCAGATATGCATTTTTGAACTAACCCCATGACTTCATGTTAATAAGTGCCTGGAAAAATGATGTACGCAAAAAATTTGTATATATTTTTGTAGTGAAAAAAACCTCTTATGTGAATGAGCATTTTTTTACGAGTTTCAGTGGTTAGATTCTTAATTTAACATAGGTGTATATTGTTTGTACATATACGTTATATTAGTGTTATTACGAATACATTAATCAAACTAGTTTTCTATATATAAAAGTATTGGAGTAAATATATTTGTAATTTATTATGGTTGTGCAATTTTAGTGGAAATATAACGATAAGATAAGGATATTTGCAATTTTTGACTTTATCAGGGGCCTCAAAAGAGTGAATTAGCAATAACTTAGTGAAGCGATTTCCAAAAACCACTAATCTTTTCCATGTTTGTCATAGTGATAGCCTAGTGTCAGAATGCTATAGAAAAATAAACAACTACAGTGGAATCCACTTATAATGAACTTGCTTATAATGGAAACCCGTATGACGTCATAAAAAAAAAATTAGATTCCCCACATCGAGAGGAACCCAAATCAAACCCATATATATGGTCCGATTTTGTTTAGTTTAGGAGTTATGATTTTTTTTCGGATTTTTCGAGAATTTTTGAGTTCTGTGTTTATTTTTACCATAACTTCGTTAATAATTGTGATAAATGCCTGCTTTTTTCACGATTATGTAGCTAAGACCTAAGGCTTAACTATCATATAATCATTCAAGTCATGTAACTAATACTACTTTTTAATTTTTTTCAAAATCTTCGAACATAACAAAAAAGTAAAAAAGTGCAACAACTTTGAACGTTTATAAAAAATTGAAAAAACATGTTCTTACTATTCGTATGTATCTTAAAAACTTCCTTACGGTATCAGCTATTTACCGTAAAAATTTCATCAACCTAGCTTTACTACATGCTACCGTAATTGTGGCTCAAATAGAACCGAACCCAAAATTGGATAACCCTCTGCTCAATAGAAATTGTTAGTTTCGGAAAAAAAAATTGCAAAAACCACAAAAACACGTTTGATTTTTACTGAACAGCAGATTATTATTCATTTATGTTATTTACAAGAGGTTTTCAAAATGTCTGCCTCTAACAGAAATGCACAGTGTACACCTACGTATGAAATTTTGTTTTAAATCTCTGAATGCTTGTGTGTTGTTTTTCAACACATGTGTCGCTTCTTGAATTTTGTTCCTCAATGAATTTTCATTTGCACATTCTTGGGCGAATGTTATGTCTTTAAAATATCCCCAAACAAAAAAATCAATGGGGTTGAGGTCAGGGGAGCGTGGAGGCCATCGTATCGGTCCGTTTCGTCCGATCCATCTGTCTGGGAACCTTTCGTTTAAGTAGTTTCGCACGATCGTTGCGTTGTGGCATGGTGCACCATCATTCTGGAACACCATGTTCCGTCTGGCTTCCAGGCTTGAATCTTCCAGCAATAATGGTAGGCTATTTTCAAGGAAGCTTTTGTAGGCTACCGAATCCAACCTTGACGGCAGTTCAAATGGACCGATAAATTCCATATTGAATATTCCTGACCACATGTTCACACTAAAACGGTGTTGAAATGTCGATGCATTATTATTATGGCGTTGCTCAAGGCAACGGCGCTTTAGCAGCTCAGCTGTACCGGGAACAACTTATACGCCGAGGCGGACCACAACCTGAGCATTACCCAGACCACGGTGTTTTTATTAACGCACATAACACTTTCATGGCAGGCCGCATTCCAGGACGAGGAAGCAATGAAGGATATCCTACAGCTGATCCGGATCGCAGAGAAGTAGTACTTGAAGAAATTAGCCGGAATCCCTCAACGAGTACGAGATCTATGGCACAAAACCTTAGAATACCACGAACATCGATACAAAATATTCTTCATGAAGAAGGTTATCATGCCTATCATGTTCAAAGAGTTCAAGCGTTGATGCCTTCAGATTACCAGTTAAGAGTGGATTTCTGCGAGACAATGCTGCGATGACAACGAGAGGATCCCGATTTTTTTGATAAAATTTTATGGACTGACGAGTCACGTTTTGAAAGAACAGGGATATTCAATATCCATAATTTACATACTTGGGCTGTTGAAAACCCCCACCAGTCAAGGCCGTCGACATTTCAACACCGTTTTAGTGTGAACATGTGGTCAGGAATATTCAATATGGAATTTATCGGTCCATTTGAACTGCCGTCAAGGTTGGATTCGGTAGCCTACAAAAGCTTCCTTGAAAATAGCCTACCATTATTGCTGGAAGATTCAAGCCTGGAAGCCAGACGGAACATGGTGTTCCAGAATGATGGTGCACCATGCCACAACGCAACGATCGTGCGAAACTACTTAAACGAAAGGTTCCCAGACAGATGGATCGGACGAAACGGACCGATACGATGGCCTCCACGCTCCCCTGACCTCAACCCCATTGATTTTTTTGTTTGGGGATATTTTAAAGACATAACATTCGCCCAAGAATGTGCAAATGAAAATTCATTGAGGAACAAAATTCAAGAAGCGACACATGTGTTGAAAAACAACACACAAGCATTTAGAGATTTAAAACAAAATTTCATACGTAGGTGTACACTGTGCATTTCTGTTAGAGGCATACATTTTGAAAACCTCTTGTAAATAACATAAATGAATAATAATCTGCTGTTCAGTAAAAATCAAACGTGTTTTTGTGGTTTTTGCAATTTTTTTTCCGAAACTAACAATTTCTATTGAGCAGAGGGTTATCCAATTTTGGGTTCGGTTCTATTTGAGCCACAATTACGGTAGCATGTAGTAAAGCTAGGTTGATGAAATTTTTACGGTAAATAGCTGATACCGTAAGGGAGTTTTTAAGATACTTACGAATAGTAAGAACATGTTTTTTCAATTTTTTATAAACGTTCAAAGTTGTTGCAGTTTTTTACTTTTTTGTTATGTTCGAAGATTTTGAAAAAAATTAAAAAGTAGTATAAGTTACATGACTTGAATGATTATATGATAGTTAAGCCTTAGGTCTTAGCTACATAATCGTGAAAAAAGCAGGCATTTATCACAATTATTAACGAAGTTATGGTAAAAATAAACACAGAGCTCAAAAATTCTCGAAAAATCCGAAAAAAAATCATAACTCCTAAACTAAACAAAATCGGACCATATATATGGGGGTGATTTGGGTTCCTCTCGATGTGGGGAATCTAATTTTTTTTTATGACGTCACGTGTTTGGCCACCCTGTATAATGGACACAATTTAAGCTCCTATAAATAATTGCATGCAAAATCCTCGGATATTATAGACTAGCTTAAAATAGACCCTCGTTTATAGCGGACTATTTTGATCCATTATATGCGAGCTATTTTGGTAGTTCCCCAAAGCAGATTTAGCTGAAGAAATCGTTTATGGCGGTTTGGCTTCGCAGTTTGCATTCGAACTTGGCCACCAGTGTTATACTGTATTTATTAGAGTTATAAACATGTGGAAAGGGCGAAACGTGCATTCATTTTGCACGAAAAGTTCACAATAATTAGTGAGCTTGAGCAAAGTTCATCTCAGCAAATATATGTGCTCGTTTGGCTATAAAAAATCCACTGTGTCAAATATTTGGAAGAACCGTGTCAAAATTAAAAATGACTGGAAATAAGATAATCAAAAGAAAAAATGCGGATATCGCTACATCCACAAGTCGATGATATGCTGTTTAAATGGTTTCAACAAAAGTGTGCTGATAATTTTCCAATAAGTGGACCTATGCTACAAATAAAGGCTGAAGAATTTGGGAAATCGATTGGACATTACTTCAAATGTAATTCCGGTTGGCTAGACAGGTTGAAGAAAAGACATAACATTATTTTTGGCAAAATGTGTGGTGAGTCAGCTTGTTGACAAGAATGTTAACAATGACTGGATTTCTCAAGTTTGGCCCGTAATATCCAGTGATTATTCAGATGATAACATATTCAATGCAGATGAAACCGGGATATTTTATAAAATGCTACCAGATAAAACTCATAAATTAAAAGGTAACACTCAAAATGTAGGGAAACTATCAAAAGAGCGAATAATTGTTATGATTTGTGCTAATGCTTCTGGTACTGGAAAACGGAAACTACTGGTAATAGGTATGAATAGAAATTCATGTTCTATTATTTTTTTGATATTCAATGGCAGTGCTGCAAAGAATTTATGATCTTTTTTTATGTCAGGGAAATTTAAGAATCCCAGGTGTTTCAAAAATGTTCACGTCGATTATGTTGGAAGTAATAAAGCTTGGATGACTTCATCAATTTTTTAAGAATTCTTAAATACGTGGGACGCTGAACTTGTTAAGAAAAATCGTAAAATTTTGCTCTTGGTCGATAACTGCCCCGCTAATCCAAATATTTCACTTAATATCAACTTTCAATTTTTTCCAGCCAATGTGACATCAGTTCTGCAACCTGTGGACCAGGGTGTCATTTGGAGTCTTAAACAAATGTATCGGAAACATATGTTGATAAAAAATTATGGAGCTTCAAGATGTCAACATTAGTTACCAAAGCTGTCACCATTTTCGATGCTATAAATTTGCTTACTATTGCATGGGAATTGGGAAAATTAAATAAAATTCTACTTGCTGTTCTAAATAATTATATAAAAAAAACAATCTGTTCAAATGAAAATTACTAGCTTTTTTACCAAATAATTTACGGTTTTTACACATACCTACTCAGTACGTATGCCTGTAATACGTGTATCAGATTATGAAAAAATGCAAATTTCAAAATTATGTATAACTTTTTTGTATGTATCTTTATTTATCTAATACATAGTAAACAAATACATTTTAAGCTTTTCATATGTTATTTCTGCTGGTTTTTTCATTAAAAAAAGTCATTCTTTTAAGATGGTCATCCGCCTATAATAGACTATTTGTCACAGTCCCGCCGAGTCCATTATAAGCGGGTAGCACTGTACTATGATATTGGAGCATCCAAAGGTTGTAGATAAACCGACGGAAATGGCAACATGGTTCTTTCTTATTTTTTTTTCTTTGTATGTCATATGAAATAACATCTTTTTCTGTTGGATTTGGAGAATAAAACGAAAAAACGTGCGACATGGCCACCATCAACTCCTGGCTGACTAATGTAATGCAGGTACCTTATTTAGCAACAAAAAGTACACGCGACTGCTTTTCAATATTTTAATCATTTGAACTGGTTTTATAAATATATGTGCTTTTACAAACTTTATTAAAGATATAAATGATGTATTATAAAAACCTTTCAATAAAAAACAGTACATGAAATATTACAATTTACATCCATTTTATAAAAAGTATAAAACACTTACGCAATTGTCGAGGTGTTAATATCGCCTAATATACATTCCATGGATTCTAAAACACTCCTTTGATATTCAAAAACACGATTTGTAATGCTGTTAAAGCTCCCCCTTCACGATCGCCCCTTTATACCTAAGAATATAGGCTTAACTATATATGAAAATTGCTCCCAATCAATCCAAATTTTCAGATCAATAGGTCCCGCTAGAAGCATCAACCTCAACAACGTTTTTTCTGAGATAATTTCTTACGGGCGCGATTTTGCTTAAATTTTTTTGAAAAAATTAACATCGCTACATAACCGTGATTTTTCAAGTTTTGTGCAATGTATAGGTATTGTTATAAAAAATTGAAATTATTTTTAGAATTCTTGGTTAGGAAATGAAAATTTCACAAACTTAAAAATCCACTATATACCTGCGTTATTTCAGATCCACTAACAAAATCATTAGTTTTGCCGGGAAAATCCTCAAAAATCTACTTTTTGCAATTGCTGTCATTTTAAACGGCGGGTATTATAAGCTGGCTAAGTAGAAAATTCAACATAATATGTACGTATTTTTGTGCGTTTTTGAAGGTTCCACAATCAGATTTTTCATTTCTCGAAAAATTGGGAAGATAGGTCAACCTCATTTTCCCTGATTATCTTTCATTTTTGACGCTTTTGGTTGTAACTTTGCAACCCATTGTATTTATGCGTTTTTTGTCAAACAAATTTTTGTCGAACTTATACGTTTCACAAATCTACAAAAAATCAAGGTGCTTATGTAGGATATAACAATTTTTTCAAATTTTTTTGAGTAGATTACCCGTAAAAGTATTTAAAAAAAACACGTATTTGAGGTCAGGGGTCACTACGTGTGATCTATCGATATGAAAATTTGGTATAATTTATATATAATATAGTATAACTTAATTTGGATTGATTCAGATAGCTTCGGAAACAATTTTCATAATATTATGTTGTTTCGCAGCCATAACCAATATCATTTCATGAATGTAGAGATCTGAATTGTTCAGCACAATTTATTGTCTGATTGAATATTCAAGCACCTGAAAAAAAAGGCTTCAAGTATGTTGACCCACGCAACGCTGTCATTATTTTCAAAATGATTAAGTTCGACGCAAGACAGGCTCTCAGAGAAAAAAGTTAACTACGTATTTATATAAAGAAAATCAAATGGACCACGTCGGTCAAGCAGGCCTATACAATTAGCGACTAACCTCTCCACTTGCCCCCTACAACACTAATTTTCAACCCCTCGAAAAACTTTTCTGAAACGTCAAAAATTGGAGTGTGTGCATTTTTTGCCCATAGCTTGTCCGCTCCTGGATCAATTTTTAAAAGCCAAATTATACAGACCGACGGAAATGAATGACATGGTTTTTGCGTAATGTCATGTAACATCCGAAAACCATAATTTGCAGCGACCGTGATACCGTGAATGTCCGCCTTTATGCATGTTTCTAAATTCTCTTAATAATAAAGTCATTAACTTGTATACAGCGCACTTCAAAATCTTAAATAATTATTTACATACATATTAGTTCGCTATGCTATGTGAATAATCTCCTCGGAGTAGGAACCTCCACTAAATTTTCTGTATATTCCTTTGATGTTTCCCAAGTCGTAGGTGAATACAGCCGCCTGGTTTTGCGTTCCCGAAATGTGAGAGATTGAAATTCCAGAAAACTCGTCCTTGCCTTAGCTTCATCTGCCAACCAGATAAATTTTATTATAATATAAAACGGGTGATTCATTCACAAGTACTTTTTTAAAAAGAAAAATATATCAACAACCTTTGTTGGGTTGTTTTCATTATCCAAGTAAACCATTCGTGACATTCAGTTTCTAAAAGTTATTTTTATTATAATTTTTGATGACGTGTCCGAACACTATTTCCTAGAAATTCAAACCCATGTTCTTCAAAACAGATGGTTTAAACCAGACCGCGGAGATAGTTGCAGCACAGTCCATGAAGCTCTAGCTTTACTGCTAAGAGGACCACACTCCCTTTCTCTCAGTTGTTCTACTCGCTCATTCCAAGAATTAAGGGGTAGCATCACTGTACAATTTTCAAAAGATTTTTTTATTATTGGGTTAAAAATCCTTTAATCCTTTTAGAATGTGGGGAAATGTGTGTTAGTAACACCTCAAAGCATTTTTCCTGTAATTTCGAGTTCCTCGCTAAGCGCGTCGTACTGCTCCGAAACCTTTTATCTTTAGAATTCTGTATCCTCAAATATACTATAAACATGTGCAATGAGTGTTTTTTTTGTCCAAATTTGCAGCAGCCACATTGCGCGCCGGTCGTGGTTCGGCCATTTTTGAATATTTATTTTGTTAGTTAAATATAAGCTCAATAACCTCCTCCAGTATCATTATTTTATTACATTTTCTTCCACAATAAAAAACACTTTCTTAGGCCGTTACATTGGTTACCCCTAAACCCGAGAATTTTGATAATATAAAAGGCCCACGTGAAAGCTAAACTAGACTACGAGGGATGTCTTTCAAGTTTTGCATATGGAAATAAAACAACCCGGTAGGTAGTTTTAAATCACTTTATTGTTTTTCGAAGTATTCTTCGCGAAGATTAATACACATCTGCATGCGTTCGAACTAATTTTCAAAGCAATTATTCCACTCGTTTGCTGGTAGATCCAAAACGGCATTTTTGAATGTGTCAGCTGATTCTTCTGGTGACTGGAACCTTTGACCACGCAGTCTGTTTTTAATTTTCGGGAAAGTAAAGATATCGTTAGGACTTACGTCAGGACTATATAGAGGATGGTCCAATAATTCCACGTTTTCTTCCGTTAAATACTGCCTTTTGGGCTGTGTGCGAGCTTGCATTGTCTTGGTGGAGGATGATTCTTCTTTCGGGGTTGATTTTTCGTAGCTCGGTGATGACTTTTGGCAAAAAAATGGTGGTATACCAATCCGCAGTAACAGTTTTTTGCTCATTAGGAGGAATTATTGCAATATGATCCGCTTTTGACACAAATGTCGCGACCATCTTTTTCGAATCACTTCTAATGGTGGTATACCAATCCGCAGTAACAGTTTTTTGCTCATTAGGAGGAATTATTGCAATATGATCCGCTTTTGACACAAATGTCGCGACCATCTTTTTCGAATCACTTCTAAAACGGATGACTTTTGTTGGCTTTTCTTCACCTTGGAACACCCAAACAGCCAACTGTAGTTTATTTGCTGGTTCATAACAGTAAATCCACGATTCATCACCACTAACAATGCTGTACACATTTTTTGAGTTTCCGGAATTGAAACGGTCAAGCGTTTTTTGACACCAATTAACCCTGGCTGCTTTCTGCTCTTCAGTCAACAGGTGGGGTATCCAACGAGAAACTAATTTTCTTACTCCTAATTTTTTGAATTGAGGTCTTTGAGATCTTCAAAGACGCCTCAATCTCGCGATATGTCACATGTCTATCTTCAAGGATGAGTTTGCGCACAGCATCGCCGTTTTCCTGGGTGACTACCGTTTTTGGTGCACCCACCCTGGATCTTCGCTAAGACTCGCCCGTCCACGTTTGAGTTCTCCATACCAACGGGAAATTGTCGACTGATGTGGCGCTTCGTTGCCGAAAACAGACAGTAACTCAGCAAGGCATTCTTGTTGCGATTGTTGTGAAACTTTGAATTCAAGTTTACTAAAGAGTGAGGTTAAGATTCAGTACTGACGTTCGATCCGCGCGGCCTACTATGTTTCTATACGCAAAACTTAAAAGACATGCCTCGTATAGGGCTATATTATCTGACATCTTTGTACTTACTTGAAACTGCAAGTGAGAATCTGCGACTTGGTATGGCACTTGTTCTGGGCGGGAAAGGTATCTTAAATACATCTGTATAAAAATGGGAACACTTTAAAAATATCGACAGCTAGTGAACCAGTTTGCAGGTCGATGTAACGAAATAATAAGGACATGCCAGTCAGCGGACGCTTTTGCGCTACTTCACGGACAAGTCTGAATAGCATTTTTTCTTAGTTGACATGCATTAATAATTGCGGACTAGCAGCAAGCAATGAAAAATCCTTGAAGGCTTGGATCTACATAGGATATCTTTATACCTATTTATTAACTATCTTATGGCAAACGTGTTTCCATGGATATCATGTTAGTTTTTATTTGGATTATTGGTGTTTAACGGATATCATGCAGTGTAATAATAATCACTATTGAGAATAATTCATTGAATGTTTATATCAATTTATTAGTTTAGTATAACTGGCTCTTAATTACTTAAAAATGTTAGTACACAGCAAAACATTACATTAACTTAATCTACTAAAGAAAGCAGTATCAGATAATATAAACTAACCTTCCTCCACCTTTCGTTTCTTTATAGGCTTTTTGTTTTCCGGGTCAGTTTTTGCCTTCCTCATATTTCTGAGTACCCTGAAAATAAACATTTGGGTGGTTAGATTTTAAAACATTATGGACAATTAAATAATAAGGAACAAACAACTAAGCTCATATAATTTTTTTTTTCAATTAAATCTCTTTGTAGTATCAAACATTATGAGGAACCTATTTATTTTTCTTGCTTATGCATGTTTGAATAGAGAGAAATATGGGGAAAAACCAGCATAAGCATTTACAGACAATGAGGCAAATGTCACACTTTGAGTATTTTTAGTCTTCCATTCATTCATTATTTACTGATCATTCCATTAGTGTCAATGGATATCTGCATAACCTTATACATCACTAATTACCAACTTCTGAGCTACATGGTCATTAAATATCACATTCCATGATAAATCCTGACAGATCACAGTAAATGCTGATCAAGTGCTATTTGCCTAACATACTCTGCCTGGATATACCCAACCCAGTTGAAATCCGCTCCTTCTTGAAAATAAGCATACATATCATGCTGCCGCCAGCCACTTATGCTAACCATGTTTAAGTGTCAGCATTGTCACATGATATGGAATTGCCTATTCCATCATTCTGAGATTATGAAATCTTAGGAATAATCATGAGGAAAGTTGAGGGGTGATCTTTCTTTAAGAGGTTGGTGCTTCATTTGATTAACATTTCTTTTGAAGGGAATATGGAGTGTTTTATAGCATCTAAAGAAATTACTGTGATCCTACTTGGAAACATAGTTGTGATTTGTGGTGAATGATATTGTACAAAGGGTACTATAAAAGTTTTCCAATATGACAAGTTTGTTCATTCATATTGACAGTGTAAAGTTAGTCTAATCATATTAGATGAAAATACCCCTGGTTTGTGAAATAATTGCAAAGTCTGGTTTTATTGCTGCAATTTATTCAAGGGGGTATTCAAAACATGGAAGCAAAAATTGGGTACACCAATTTTTGCGGAAAAACTTTTTATTCGACAACAAAGAAGAGAAAACGTGTTTTGCGGGATTCAATCGAAAGGGTTGGCAGGAACGAAAAGACTCTTCATATAAGATTTTTAGGTATTTATGAGACCTACAAAATGAGATCACACGTAAAAAGATCCGACTAATAGCAAAAAAGTTATGGCCGAAAACTGAGGCAAATTGCAGGTTTTGGCACTTGTTGGTAATGAGATGATGGTTTCTTGCAGATATTTGAAACTCTTCAATTTCGTAGGATTCGTACTTATAAATAACCACAACAAAATTGGAGTAGATTGGTCAAGTAGTTTTTGAGAATATCTAAAAAAAACTTGTTTTCCGGCCAACACTACTAGTTTATTGCACAATATACAGGGATAGTTCAAAGGGCATTTTATAGTAAAATACACTAGTTTACCTTGCCGATATGAATCGAAAACCATTCTGGAAGATAAATGTTCTTTTTATGCAAAAAGAGGATGGGTTACGTTTTTTCTTCTAAACAAATTCAAACGTTTCGTATTTGTGAGTAATTTGCAACAAAAGATGATAGACTCAGCCGCTTTGTTTTAAAATATGTATAGTAACATATGTTTTTCGAATACCGCAGTGGATTTGTTCGATTACTCTCAAATACGAAATGTTTGAATTTGTTTAGAATAAAAAAAACGCAACCTTTGTTTTTCGGATAAAAATAACATTTATCTTTCCGAATGGTTTGTGATTCATATCGGCAAGGTAAATACGCGTATTTTGCTATTAAATGATCCTTGAACGAACCCTGTATACTGGTCAATAAACTAGTAGTGATGGCCGGAAAACAGGTGTTTTGGGATAAACAATTAGAGATTCTCAAAAAACTACTTGACCAATATACTCTAATTTTGATGTTGTTCTTTAGAAGTATGAATCCTATGGATTTGAAGAATTTCAAGTAGTTGCGTGAAATTATCGTCGCATTACCAAGTGCCAAAACCTGCATTTTGCCTCGTTTTTCGGCCATAACATGTTTGCTATTAGTCGGATCGTATCACGTGTGGTCTCATTTTGTAGGTCTTATAAATACCTAAAAATCTTGTATGAAAAGCTTTTTCGTTCCTGTCAACACTTTCGATTAAATCCCAAAAACACGTTATCTCATTCTTTGTTGTCAAATAAAAAGTTTTCCCACGAACATTGGTGTACCCATTTTATGCGTCCATGTTTTAAATACCGCCTTTTACAACTTGCACCAATAAAACCAGATGTTATAATTATTTCGTGGAAATTTGCTAATATGATTAGACTAAGTGTGGACTATGGTATTGTGGTCACATAGTGAGATAAGGGCAGTTTTACGGTATAACTTTACGCGTGGTTTAACCAGTGCTTAGAAGAAATGACGCATGCATCGTACGACTATATTCAGGTGGTACATAGAATTCCAAAGGGGCAATTTCACTCTGGAGGACGCTGAGGGGGAAGGAAGACCGCGAACGACCAGCCATTCATTCAATTCTGCATGACCATTTATATGTAAGGAAACTTTGTTCTCTCTGGGCACCGCATAGTCTGATGCAAGAGCAGAAGACTCGTCGTACGACTTGGTGCCGAAAGATTCTGAAAATGTTTGATAAGGGGCAATCTCAGTGTGTGAACAGCACTGTGACAGGTGAAGAGACTTGGCTCTATTATAACGATGTGCTGACCAAGGCTCAAAACAAAGATTGGTACCTCCACCATGACAACATTCCAGCTCACTGTTCCAAAGCCTCCACTGAGTATTTGACCACTTCTGGATTGAAACTTATTGAGCACCCTCCTTACAGTCCAGAATTTGCTCCTTGCGACTTTGCACTGTTTACACATGTAAAAATAGAGCTAAAAGGAAAATGGTTTTCTAGCGAGGGCTTGGGACAATGAGTGTGCCACAGTTCTGGATGAAGCTTGGCAGGACTGGTATTGGCAGATGGAGTAGTGTATTGAATGTGGTGGAAATTACATTGAATGAAGTCAATAAATAAAGCTGTATTGCTAAACTTTTATAGTACCCTTTGTATTTAATCAAATAAGGTTAGGCAATTTCCTGAAGAATATGTTAATCAATGGGGCAACATTTAAGAAAACAGAGAAAACTAAATCAGATACATAGAAGTGTAGTTGAATGAAACTTGAAGCATGAACTTTTGCTCTGTTATGTACTTACCTGTCTGTTCTGTTAGAACTTACTGCCTCTTCTTCTTCTTTGTTCCTCAATTCAGCTGGAGGTTTCTTCTTAATTTTTTTACATAGCCTGATTAATTGGTCGAGATCCTTACCTTTGCCTAAAAAATAATGAGTAAAAGAAAAATAAACAAATTCAACATTTGTGGGATACAAATATGGTATTCTTTATATTGCGGATACTAAGGTAAACAGCAGTAATTGGAAAAAATAATTCATGCCTACATTCTTTTTTTTAAATATTGGTGATGGATTAGATTAGATAAATCAAATTCAAGCAGATAACCAAATGGAAATGGTATTTACCATTTTGGGTTGGTATTTACCGATCCGTTCAAGCGAGTGTAGTTATCAGTTTGGTTATAAGATCCGTGACGTCACGAATCAGCTGTTATATGTCATAGTTATCACCGCAAAATTGTGGTATTTACCCAACTCAAGACTAGTTTTATATTTCTGGTTATTATTTGAAATGTGACAAGTTAGAATTTTGCCGAGTAATGGATATTATTATTGTACTTCAGCTTCATTTTTGAGAAAATTGATACAGGCTGACTTCAGTTTTACCATAAAGTGGAGCACCTTATTAGTTATACTCATTATTGTTGGGGACACTTTAAATGTAGTTCCTATGCTTAACAAAGTATCCTGTGTAGCCATATACCACAAGAATATTAAAATATGGCCATATAAACTCACTAGATGATATCCACCTGTATACGGTTTTGCTAATTTCTTTTTTCATCATTTCTGCTGAATCAATAAATGTTTTCTTTGACACATGGAAAAATTTAGAGAAGCTACAAAGCCATAGTTCCATCATTAAAAAAAAATCGGAAAAAACATTTCTCCCATGAATATTATGACAGGTTTCTTATTTAAACTTTCCATATACAGTTGTAGACGAAAAAGCACCGATAATTAAGTGATAATAAAAATAATCAGAGATCATATACGCGCTTTTCTAAAATTAACAACTTGCAACAAAACCGCGGTTAAAACCAACGCGTTCAAGCGATTCCTGTAACTGACGTCATCAACCCGTGTGTCATCTTGAACCATATTATAACCGCTGCACATAACACAGAAATTTTGGTTATTCGCTTGGATTTGATTATAGAATGGGATACTTTTTTGTGGTTTTATCTAATCTTATTCTTAATAAAGATATTAACATATTTACCTAAAGGAGTCTCTGAGCATTGTTTCACCAAATGTAACAAATCATGTTCTTGTGCCAGAGGCTGACACTCACATTGTGACTGTGCATTTTTTTGTTCCACTGTAAGGCAACTCTGAATCTGGGCATCTACTTTTTCTGTCACAAAGTTACTTTGCACTGCTGCATCCTTCCTTTTCACTGCACAGCACTGACTTCCTACGTGTTTTTGTACAAACGTAAGTTTACATTGTACCCCTACATCTGTTTGCTCACTTCTGGATGATCTCTGAGCCCCGTTCTGTGTGACATTATCATCTTTACTTATTCCAGAATCTGTTTTAGATAAACTTTGCAAAATTTTCTCAACCTTATCATCACATGGATCGATTGCAACCAGTTCTTCTTCTCCATCATGAAAAAATATCAAGGGGTGTTTTCTTTTCTTACTTTCTGGCTGTTTAAAAGTGTTGTTTAAGTTGTTCCACTGGCTTAACTTTACATCTTGGTGAATGACTATTTTTGGTGGCTGCGATTTTTGTTTTTTCAATTTACTCATTATGTTTGTCGTCTTCATGTATTAAAAGAAAAAAAAATACGTAGTATGGTTCATACATTGAATGAAAAATGATTTTGAAAACCTTGCTATTAAATAGGAAAAATCGTAAACAAAAAAGTTTTAGGTTAGATTAAAAGCCGTTGACGGAGTTCGATCCTCTGGATGTTGATTGTATTCGATCTGAACTATCGATAATAAATAATGTCTGGTTATTTCCATCTCTAACAAGGACTTGGCCAAAAAGCCGATAGATGACGCTGTAATATTGATTTAACTGTTATTACAATTTTGGACTAATAGAGGACGATACGGTCTATCTAATCAGCAATCATTAGCCATGAATGACGTCACAAACTTGTATTTTAAAAAAATTCATACACGTTATAGGAACGTACGTCCGTACGTAGGTAGATATGCATAAGCAGTGTTGTTACATAAAGTAAATAGATTCATTAGATGAATGCTTTCGTGTGAACGTTGACGAAGATGTGTGTAAACTGGTGTGAACTGCAATATTCAATACATTGAGAAATATCGGAGAGGAAAATTCCACCAGAAACGACGTACGCGTAACTTCTGCGAGGGATGTTATGTCATTTTCTTATACTTTAAAATCCATGGAGATAAAAAATATAGTATACGATGCTTATGTTTCCCCTGCCTCTTCTGCACTGATTTTAGTAATCTTCCAGAGGCGTATGTAAGGAAACAGTTGGGGTTTTAGTAAGTTCTCCGTTTTATCGCGTGTTTTGAATCTCTGATTACTATTGTGGTGACTCCATCTCTCGGGAGCACCACGGACCAACCATCTTGATCAACGACGACACTTTTGGTCGTTACTATTTCATATTTCCGCCTCTCGATGGTACCTTGTACTACACTACTACACACTACAACCGCCGTCATCCAGTTTTGTGTTGATCCCCGTACACGTTATATCGCATTAACATATTTATATCGATAATTCAATTTGTATTTTAACCGACACACTAAAATTATACTTAGGTCATATACATTTGTTGTAGGGGTCTAACAGTCACACAAAATCGAAACTGCGTATTTGGTATTTTAAAATTCTCGGTTTTCGATAGAATACTGTAGTATCAAGCCTAGGATGAAAACCGTCTGTAGCTACATTTTGAAAATCTGTCCGATAGTGGAGGAATTCTTAGTTCTTAAATTTAGTTTTCAATGTTTTTTGAGTTTTGTGATCGCGTTAGGTAAATACATTGGAGATATTGAAATTCCTTAAAATTTCATATTTGTTTTTGACGTTTTAAATGTGTGGAAAAGTTTTAGGATATTCAAAACTTGTAAATTCAAGTATGACTCAAAGCCTACTTTTCACTTAAAATGTTGTGTGGCAAAAACTTTAAAAAAATTGATATCAGTACGTGGCAAGTACCGAGTGAGTCTACTTGACACCATTTTTATATCGGCATACTAGTTTAAAATAACGTGCGGTAATGAAAGAATGGTACCCAGTTGGCAGATACCAATTAAAAAAGCTGAGGCATAAGAGGTGAATTAGGAACGTCCTGTAAAAAGGGTTTTCACAACATGGTCACATTTGTGAGCTAAACATTTACATGTAAGGAAACTTTGTTCTCTCTGGGTACCGCATAGTCTGACGGAAGAGCAGAAGACTCGTCGTACGACTTGGTGCCGAAAGATGCTGAACATGTTTGATAAGGGCCAATATCGGTATGTGAGCAGTATCGCGACAGGTGACGAGACTTGGCTTTATGATTACGTTGTGCCGACCAAGGCTCAAAACAAAGTTTGGGTCTCTGATGATGACACACCCGTAGATGTCAGGTAAAATCCCGATTTGTTAAGAAAAAAATTGCAGCTGTATTTTTCAAATGGAGCGGGATTGTAGAGCGTGACATTTTGGACGCACAGAAGACAGACACATCTAAGTGGTACACGGGACTATGCCTGCCTAAAGTCACATAAATCAAATTCAAGCGGATAACCAAATGGAAATGGTATTTACCATTTTGGATTGGTATTTACCGATCCGTTCAAGTGAGTGTGGTTATCAGTTTGGTTATAAGATCCGTGACGTCATGAATCAGCTGTTATATGTCATAGTTATCACCGCAAAATTGTGGTATTTACCCAACTCGGGAGTAGTTTTATATTTCTGGTTATTATTTGACATGTGACAAGTTAGAATTTTGCCGGGTATTGGATATTTTTATTGTACTTCAGCTTCATTTTTGGGAAACTTGATACAGGCTGACTTCAGTTTTAGCATAAGAGAGCACCTTATTATTTATAATCATTACTGTTGTTGGGGACACTTTAAATCTAGTTCCTACGCTTAACAAAGTATAGCCATATACCACAAGAATATTAAAATATGACCGTATAAACTCACTGGATGATGTCCACCTGTATACGGTTTTGTTAATATCTTTTTTCATCGCTTTTTCATCATTTCTGCTAAATCAATAAATATTTTTTTTTGACATGCGGAAAAGTTTAGAGAATTGAAAGTTATCATAGCTACAAAGCCATGGTTCCATCAGTAAAAAATTTTTTCTGAAAAAAAAACATTCCTCCCATTAATATTATGAAAGTTTTCTTTTTTTCAACTTTCCATACCCCGTTGTAGACCAAAAAGCACCGATTATTAAGTGATAATAAAAATAATCAGAAATTATATACGCCGTTTTCTGAAATAAACAACAACAACAACAAACCGCGGTTAAAACTAACGCATTCAAGCGATTCGAGTAACGGACGTCATCATCCCGTGTGTCATCTTGAACCATATTATAACCGCGGTACATAATACGGAAATTTTGGTTATCCGCTTGGATTTGATTATAGTCTATGAAAAACCTACGGCCAAAGTCAAGAATGGACACTTGGTACCTCCACTATGACAACGCTCCAGCACACCGCGCCAAAGCCTGCACCGAGTCCACTACTGGACTGAAACTTATTGAGCACCCTCCTTACAGTATAGATCTTGCTCCCTGCGACTTTGTACTGTTTCCACATGTGAAAATGAAGGTGAAACGGAAACGGTTTTCTAGCTATGAGGTACTTCTGAGGGCTTGGGAAAACGAGTGTGCCACACTCCCAGGTGAAACTTGGCAAAGCTGGTTTAAGGTTTGGTTTTGGCGGATGGAGAAGTGTGTTGAATATCGTGAAAAATAATTTGAACGAAGTCAATAAATAAAGCTGCGTTGCAAAACTTTTATAGTACCCTTTGTACTTCAGTACATTTACATTTAAACGGCAGGATTTTTAGAACGTCAATTATTTCAGATAAGATGAGGACTGATTTTTATTCCTAGTTCCTAGTAAGTGCTGTTAACCTCCACCGTGCCAATTTTCAGCCTATTGTCAATTTTTCTGAACTGAAAACCTCCGAGGATTAGACTAATGAGCAGAAAATGCTTGCTTGCACTGCCAGTCCTCGTAAACTCTACCCATTGTATGAGGAGTAGTAGATTGTATAAGTGGATCGATATCTTTTTACCCCCAATCAAAGGGGCAGCCGCCGCCGCCGCTTTTTCGCGGTTCGTCTCACATTGCTACGGTCGGCGATGGGGTTCTCATATAATATACGAGGGTTGAGTGGAAGAACCGACGATAAGTAGAGTTTACAAAATTTCCATTTCACAGATTCGTATGTTCTAGTTAGCACTATGGGGGGGCGGGGGGGGGGAGTCTTTGCTTTGCTTATTTTGGATGACATGGGGGGTAGGGGAGTCTAGATGATGATTACGTCATGGGTAGTTATTTACTTTTTTACACGAATGGCAACCCTCACATTGTCTTTGCTTGAAAACGAAACGCATTTTCGGGGATTCGCGCAAATAATGCATACGTTTAGTAAACAGCGCGCCGTAATTCCCTTACTCGCTTTAGAACCGAGTAGGGGAATTACCGCGCGGTGTTCACTTGTCTAAATTTCCACTATCAGTGTATTGTTTCGTTTGGATACTATAGCGAGTAGACGTATTGTAAACATAGTAAAGCAAGTTAACATTTGTGTTACCATTGATTCCATTAGCCAAAGTTTAATGTTCAAATAAGATGTCGTTTCACATAGACAAATCCAAGTTACACCAACAATTGTTTGAAAGTTTTAAAAAATCTCATACAAGTACGAAAGTACAAAATGTACAAAAGTTAGTTAACGAAGTGTGGCGAAATTACAAATTACAAGCAAAATCCGACAAGGAACTAGATATTATTGTATCTAAGAGAATCGAAGAAGAATTGCAAGCGGCGACTAAGAATACATCCAATCTACTAAATTTTTTTTCCAAGGTGAATGACGAAATCATTTTAGGTACCTATGAGTACTATAAATATTAGAAATCACCAAAAAGTTGCTCTTTACTGATTAGAAAATATTATGGCCTATCTTAAAGTATAGAGGTAATATTCATTATATTATAGATTTATTTCTTATGATTGATTCCGCCAATTGGTCACAAAGTACAGGATGTTAGTATTATACATATATACAGAAAACTAACACCCTGTATTTTGTGACCGGAACGAATTGCTTGTTTAAACATATTAGATTTAAAGTCATAGGGTTTTGTATTCACCATATATATTGCCATACTTTGTATTTATGTAGCTTAATAAGAGAATCTTTAGTAGAAGCCATAGAAAGTTTTTATTTTTAGGCAACCTGTAAACCTGCAGAAAAAAACACAAATTATACAGTCAGCTTCAAATATTAAAAAAGAGGAACAAGATAAAATAAAACCCGGTAATGAATCACAACAGCAATGCGAAATTGATGAAAATACAGATAAACAGAGAGCAAAACCTTCTCAGGAAGCTATGAAAAATAAGATTGCTCTACTCGAAAAAAATCTGAATGCTTTGTATTCTGCCAGAAATACTATGCCAAGCCGTGCTAAAGTTGATAAACAGATCAGGCAGCAGCGGTGGCCGCAGTAGTAGAGTCTTCGGTCTCCTGATCAGTCGCCGTGCGCTGTGCGGGTTTGAGTCCCGTCCCAGGAGAAATTTTTCTCTTGGCTATGGATGTTCTGATTGTCCGTAGGTGGTAGACGGTCTCTGACTGTCGAACGCGGAGGTACCACTCGGCGGATCGCGTAGGCAGAGCCAGAATGTGTGCATGTTGCATGCAAACGTGTTCCCTCGCCAGAGTCCGTGTGGCGTTCACCCTTTCCCAT